TTGCCCGATATGCTCGCTGATTAGCTGCCTTTCTTTCGCGGGTGAGTCTTTGGAATTCTTGTTCTTCTTCTGGTGTACGTTGGATTTTTCTTCTAGGCATCTTTAAATTTGTCGTAACTGATTCGATTTTAGATAAATTTGGTCTAAATATCTTTTATGCAATTAATGTCTTGTTTATTTCTCGTAAATATATATATCACTAAATTATATGGAACATCTGAACCATGCGATCATACGTATTGTAAAGTATTTTTATTCTAAGAGCTGAAGAGAAAGGGGGTATGTTGAAATGCTTTGATTTTGGTGAAGGAATTTATTTACATCCACTTGAATAAGTATTACAATTTTCTATCCACCAGAAGTTTTGTTTCCGTGTATCAGGCTTACATTTATCTCGTTCCTATTTTTATTCTTATTTTGGACTATATTTCGTTGTTAGAATGATTTTGATTTCTACGTGTTATTCTTTGATATATATGGAGATATATTTTGTTGATATTTTCAGATTATTTGTATTTATATATTTTAATATTTATTTCTATACAGATCATTTATATATTTGAGTATTTGTTCAGTTGTGACGCCTCCCTCGGTCCTCTGAAACAAAAAAAAAGTGTTATTTATTCAAGTCAATGATTTGTTCTCTGTTTTTATTAAGAGAAAAAGATCCGCAGTTCGATTTTCATTGATCAAATCGAACGCAAAATGTCCAACCGTGTTGACGATGAATTTTTTCTATTGTAGTTAGGAAAAAAAAACGAAATGCTTGGGTTATAGAACGTATGTTTTTATCTAATGCTGCAACTTCTTTCGGCTCATGAATTTAGTACCAGAGATCAAACGTTTCTTCAGGTTTTATTGTCGAATCATTGTATCCATGAAAGCAAACGAAAACCTTTTTTTTTCTTTTTTTTTTAGAGCAAAGAAGTTCTCGTTGGACTGTAGTTATCGAGCCGTTTTCAATCACATCTTATGACTCATCTAGACGAACATTTTACTCTGAAGTGAAGAACTAATAACTTACGTGGGAAACTGCCACCGGGCTCCCTATATTTTGTGACGTGCAGTGACGAAGGATAATTTTCGGGAAATATTTGGGAATTAATTGTGTTGATGGCTAACTCCACAACTGATTGGCAAGTGACTTTTGTTTCGGTTGAAGGTCTAATGTGCCTCTGCAATCTGTGAAAGAGAGTTTCATTAAGTCTACTTTTTCTTTTTATTACTTAGTACAACCATCAAAGTTTATGAAATAATATAAAACATTTTTGGAAATAAAAATTCTCATTTCGATCGAAGATATTAATCTCTATTGAATATCATGAATCATGCGACAAAAATTGAATGCAAAACTTACCTGTAGTGATCTACTCAAATGTATCCACTCAGTTTATAACTTATACTTATAACGGAGTATTCTCAAAATTTATGAGTTCAAACGATGAATGATGAGAATAGATCTCGAGGTTTTTTTTTATACCGTCCTTTCGATTATAGCTTTGATAATAACTTTCTCCCTTCTGGCACTAAATAATCTCAGGGATCGAATGACAGGTTGTCATGTATTAGGTTATGGCAAATTTCAAGCCTCCGCGATGTCGACGACGGATACATGGAAATGAAGAGAATTTCCATGAAACGTATTCTTCTCAAAAGTTCTCTCGAGTTGAAAAATTAAACATAATTCTATTATTGCAGATAGAAAACAGCATTTGAGAAATGATCAAATACAATCATTACTGTGATGATTTTTATTACGAAGAAAGGAATGGTGGATTTTTTACAGGTTTATAAAAATCACAATTACAGTTTTTTTTTTATTGAACCTTGGATACAAACTTTAGTTTTGAATACAAACAAAATATATTTTTTCTCTTCCTTGTATGCTCAATCAGTGGTTTTGTCATTTACAAACACAACTTCAGTATTATAAAGTTTTTACTTTATATGGAAAATAGATGAAAGTCATCATTTTGAACATTCACCGATATCACATAGAGAAATAAATGTAATATTTTAGTCAACAAACATTGAGAACTTAATTAGTGATGCTTGTCACTATAAAACGTAATCATAAATATTCCACACTCAGGAACACTTAAAACTCTTTTATCTATCACTACATTCATTTCCTCTATATAAATATGAAATATATCGTTTTTCAATTAAAAATAGACGTCTTTCTTAGTACAAAAATACAATCATGTGGATATACTATTTTTTAAATCACATTTTTTTCGTCATTAGACGTTCAAGTAAAGTTCACTATACACCTTCTTTAAACTTTTAAATCAACGTTTTGTACTAATTTTTTTGGTTGATAATACTTTGCTTCTACATTATAGTTATTATATTCTGATTATGATATGACAGTATGAAAAGTAAAGAAGAATACTTCCAAGTTAACTCGCAGAATTATATGAAACTCCTCAATCAAATACTGTCAGCAAGTGTAATGTTTATCTCTGGAGTAGTCTTTACTTCACTCGGACTATGACCAAAAGAACTGAGTTCACAAATTTACTATTTTTTCAGTCTCTTAACCGGAGATCATATAGAAAGGCAATACATAGAGATAGATTATACAAAAAAAAAATCAGCTGCGATTTATCTGTGTGATCTGCATAAACAATGTAGAGAATTCTTGACGACTGGAAAAATGAAAATGAGTCCCTTCGCATGCCTCAATCAGTCTTCATCTGAAAAAAATGGGAAATATGCATAACTAATCGCATGTCAGTGATTGATAATCACCTTCTTCTCTGAATCCTTATTCCCATCTGCATTCTCTTTATCGTCATCTCCAGGACGTTTTGCAGTTGTTGAAGTAGATTTTGTAGACGGCTGACGAATAGCCAATCTGAGTTGCTCTACAGTCAATTTCTTCTTACTTCCATCGACTGTTACTTTTGTCATGTCATCGACACTGAGTAGGGCTGATCCAGGCTTGGAATTCTCGATCCTCCCATGGAATGTTGCATAAGCCCCCTTCGTGAGTTCAGGCATTGGTTTAAATCCACGAATAAGAACCGCTAGGCGATAGCATCCGTCGGCGATGTTGCCATTAGCAAGTGACATCGACCCAACAGTCCTGAATACCTGGAACTCATTCTTGACGTAACCACCTACAGTTGAAGTATGGAGAGAAAGAAAATTGAGAGAGAAGAATGACATAAACGATGTAAAAAAAAATTTCATAACTTTTTTCTTTTTCTCAAAATTTTCTCACCGATGGGCTGTCTGCCATGCTCCAAGCAAGTTTCAATTGATGTTTCTGTGTAGATGACTTCTTGTTCAACGATGGCATTAGCTTGGTTGAACATCCCGAGAACGTTGATAGTACTGAATTCCTGAACATGGAGCTCCTGGGGAGCGATTACTCCTTTTAGATCAGAATCATATTGGAACTTAACATCTGCCACGGTGCAACCTGTGACCTCGATGATCTAGGATAAAGACAAAGCGTGTAGAAAATATCTCTTTCCACTATGAAGATGAAAAAAAAAGGCATGAAGATTATTTTCGTAACAAAATTCTGAAATTGTACCTGATACAGGGAAAGTTTCGAGCTCCACTCGACAGCCTTGTTGCTCCAAAAGACCACTCGAACTTTGGTTCCTCTGTTGTTGTTCATTATGACTTTATAGATGTATTTTTGATAAGTTTTGACCTGGCTCAGCTGAAGCATGGACTCGATGTACCCAACAAAATCCCTGTAATTTTTTGATTCATAATTTCTTAGAGAGCTTTGCAAAGCATTGAAAACATACTTGAGTTCATGGGTTTCATAATAAGTCAGGCATCTTGAATTATTTTTCTTTCTACAATTCCATTGTCTTGATTAATTTATTTCATCAATTTAACAATTTAATGATATTCATGTTGAGTAGAGATAGGATGATCCAAAATTGGATTTATTTTTTAGAATAGAATAAAAAAGATGTATCATTAACGATGTAGTGATATCTGGTAACATCGTGGTAACACCGTTGTAATTAGACTGCACGAACGACTTCAGTGACAGGTGAGGTTAGGTTGACAGATAGAATTCAGGTAACTTTGTCGGGTACCATCCATTTTGCTCAGATCGAATTTTTCTCCCGGAAGTGATCCGAAAAATCGAGAATCTACTTTTATTATTTTTTCCAAATTTTCAGTGATTCTCTGAGTAGGGTCATTTTTCATTTGAGTTAATTAAAAAAAAATATTTTTTCCAAATTTTCAGTGATTCTCTGAGTAGGGTCATTTTTCATTTGAGTTAATTAAAAAAAA